GCGCGCGTCCGTAAAGGCTGTGAGCGGTACCACATGTATCTGCCGTCCGATGACTAGGCCGTCCCCTCCCATGGGTTGGCATGCGTCACTTCGAATCGCACCACCGATGAACGCTTGCCACCCACGCTTCCGACATCACTCCTCAGCCAAGAGCCTGCGATGCCCATGTAGGGAGTTCCTGGCCTGCCACCACCGCCACGTCCTGAACGTGCTCGAGGAAATCTTGCATCAGAGGCCAACCTGAACTGTTGAAGGTAGCCATCTGCGTCGGCTTCTTGCGCCGCACTGCCCGTTGACGTGCAGGCCCCCGTGGGCCCGTGGTGGGCCCTGTCCAGCAACGCCCGCGCTGCTGCCCCTTGACTCACGACACCTCGCCCCGAAATCGTCGCAAGGGCAGGGGGCGTCGACCGCGTCCCCGTCGGGAACCCCTGTCCTGGGTTGCGCGCGCAAGGAGGAATTCGCACCGCGCTCGCCTCGGCCACCGAAGGCGGGGGCAAGCTCGCCCGTCGACGATCTCGCTTGCGCCTGCGACCCTGGAACGGCACGCAGAGCGCCAGGGTGGGCAGGCACGGGAGTCGGGCAATCACTGTCTGCGTTCCCAGAGGTGCAACAAAACAGCGCAGAGTCTTGGTCACTGGTCATCTGACTGTAATTATTGCGCTCGCCACCGGCTGTCAAAACCACCAGACCTGCTGTAGAACTGCTGGGCCCCGAAGATGCCCCGCGCACATTCGTGCAACCGCGGCCCTGCAAATCAAAATCGACTCCAGTCTGGCGTCGCGCAGTGGCCCGAAGCTGGGGTAGGCTGAGGATGTCACCGCGGCTGTTCTGCGTCGGCATGATCCCGTCGAGATGGGCCTTACAGTCTAGCTCACCTCTGCGGGACTCCCTCAGCCGATTCAACGTCGCGATCTTCGGAAGGAATCAGCGCATCCCAATGGGTCGGCGACCCAGGCGCTGGCGTTTATGGGGCGCCTGCCGCGGCCACTGCCGCCGTACTCCGCAAGGCCGACCGCTGCTTCGTGACCGCGGCGAGCAAATCCTGATCCTGCTTCGATAAGGAGTTGAGGCAGGTAGCTTCATTGCCCGCCACGACGGACGGAGCTGCGTTGAAAATGAAGCCAATCCGCTCCAACGACTCGTCCAACTCCAGGTCTGTCGGGGCCCTCGGAGCACCCGATGGAGCGGCTGCAAGCAGGGCAGCCCTGGCGACATCAAACTCGGATCAGATGGCCAGGAGCTCGGCCTCCGCCTGCTGGAGCTTGCCTCTCTTGGCCTCGTAGTTCTTCTGCAACTCGGCGACCATTTCGCGAAGGTAGGTGACCTCCCGCGTTTTCTGCTGCCGCCTGTCAAGCGACTGTCGGAGCTGATCGCCGGGCGCGCGGGCAGCTCGCTCGGCCTCCTCGGCCCCCGCCAACTCCCGACGAGCCGCGACGAGCAGGCTGCCCCCGTCGTCGAGGCCGAGGCGTCGCAGCGCCGCGACCGCCTTCCTGGCCTTGGCCACCGCGTCGGGCACAGCGGGCGGCTCGTCGGCAGGCTCTCCTGCGGCGCCTGGCCGCCCGCCTCAAGCACTGCCCTGCCCGGGCCTGCTCAGACGGCCAGGCGTGGGGCGAGCGGCCCGGTCGCCTGCCGGGCGGGGCCGCTGGTCTTGGTTTCCCAGCGCGGCCCCTCCCACAGCGGAAACAATGCGGGTTGCTGGCGAAGTTCCTCGCGCAGCCACTCTGGCGACTAGCAGCGCAAGCCCGCGCAGATCCACCTCGACGCCATCCATAGCACCCGCGAAACGACTGGCGATGGGACACCGAGGCGCCCGGGACCCGCGGCGCTCCGCCAGCAGCTTGCGAGCGGCCTCGACTCGCAAGAGGCGGCGCGCAGCCCCCCTCGCCCTCCTCGGTCGCCGAAGCCACGACGGGGGAGGCGCGCGCTGCCTCCCGCCGCTGGCCGTCGCCACCGCGCAGCGCCAATCGCCAGGAGCAGCCCCGGGCGCAGGCAGCAGAGCGGCGCGGAACGCGCTCGGAGCTAACTGCCAAGCGACCAGTTTGCAAGGAATCTTGCAGCCGGCACAACTTACCGCCATAGGCCGCGCCACAGAGGGCCGGCGAGCGATCGCAAACTCGCCCTCGCGCTCGGCCCCCTCGGACAGGAAAACGCTGAGCGAGACGTTAAAAGCAGCGGGGCACGCCCCCTCTGTAGAAGCGCATCGAACATTCCACGCAATGTTTCGCGAAACGCCCCTCCGTCCTGGGCTCGGAGAGAAAGGCGCCCCCAGCGCCCAGATCCGGAAAGAGGCTGGGGATGTCCAGGATGTCATCGCTAACATCCGTGGCGCCGAAGACGCTGCCGCGCACCCTCGTCAGCGGGTGGAGGTCGAGCACGGCGGAGATGTAGAGGTGGGTGTAGATCCGATCGAGCCAAGCGACCGATTCACGGGCGCCATGAATATTGCGCACGAGAGTAGGCTATTGTTGAAGAACTTCAACCAACTGGAGGAAGCGATCCTGGAATAACGAGTCGAGATGATAATAACTAGAGGAATTGCGCGCACACGCTCGACCCTCGAGATGTTGCCTGACCTGACCAGGCGCGTAAAAATTGAAGCCACCACCAAAGAAGGCTAGTGCGGGACGAAGGCATCGCGGCACCTGGGCAGCAGCAGAGAGTCCACAACGCTTTTGGAAAATACCAATTTAGATTCTGAAACCAACCATGAGGCCCAGAGAGGAGCAGTCCGTGAAGACGCGCCGCCTGGTGTGCCTTGTCTTGCGAACTTAGATTACATAGGAAATCCCTCTGCACCCGTACTGCACAGGCGCCCGCTGAGAAATTAGGAGTGACACGTAGTGAACGCGCGACGCCGAAGAAAAAACCGTCGGGGCGTCTCATCCTCACAAACGGACCAGCGAGGTTCTTGCAAGAGAAGGACGGAATGTCGTTCGGCAAGGTAACGAATTTACCCTTGCTTCCGCTTTTGGAGCCAATGGTTCCCAGAGACACTTCCATGTAGAGCGTGAAAATTCTCAGGAACAGAAGCTGAACGAGCTACATATCGAAAAGGCATGTCAAAACCTTCGCTTGTCAGGAGAAGCGCCGCTGCTGGTGGAGGACGAGGAGAAGACGGAGGAGACAGAGGACGAGGAGCTGTTGGAAAATGATTTGTCTGCCCGACAGCCGCCAAGGTTTCCTGACAACCTCGCCCGCTTCAGAGGATGGGGAGAAACCGAGTGCCTGCTACTGCTGGTGCACTCCTGCCGGCGGCCGCTACTCAATCGCTGGCGCCTCTCCCAGGCGCTGGAGACGGCGGTGGCAACCTCGCTGGCCTTGCCGATGCCGATGTCCCACTCCTTCAGGCTCCCTTCGTCCGGGATGATGCTGAGCGTCTCGCCAGGGCCTTCTTGCAGCGCAAACACGTCCCAGCCGTCGCCAGCGGTGGTGACGAACAGGGTGCCCCTCGGGCCGTTGGTGCCAAGCCGGCAGCCTGCGCCCCAGCGAGCGTACTCCTAGACCTCAGCCAGAACTGGCTCCCAGAGCTTGCCGAGCATTTTCTGCTTGCGACGAACGTCAAGTGTCTGATCAGGTCGAGCCCGCAAAAGACTGGCTTCCCCATTCCGAGGATCAGTCCATGTCATCTTCGCGTCGTTGATCCTCGTCAAATTGATGAAGTCCTTCGCCGCCTTGGAGAACTGGAAGACCAGTGAATAGGGGTACTGCAGGCGTTGCCATATTCGCGATGGTCGAGTTCAAGATGATCTTGGCGACGTTCCAGTGGTTCTCGAACTGCTTGCCAAGGAGCTTCCTCGGAAAGCCACCCATCCAGAACTTGCAGCAGTCTTGTTGCCGTTCAGGCGGAGCAGCGTGTCCACGTCGACACTTCCAATCACGCTCACCTGATGTAGTTGAGGGTTCGCTCCAGGTGCTGCCGCCGCTGCCACTGGCCGCACCTCCACCACTAGGGTTGTCGTCCCACTTCTTCTGCAGCGCCGCGAGGTCCCTCTGGATTGACTCGAAATTCGCGTGCGCTTCGACCTTGTCCGACAGGCTATCAAGCTTGGCGACGAGCTGGGCTACTCCGTCCAGGGTGGAACTCATGGTGTCTATGCGGCCCATGGGGATATGCAACTTCTCGTCGGGAAAGAATTGCCATGCTCCCGACAACAGGGCAAAATGCGCAGTCCAGATAAAAAAAAGCAAGGGTCGCTCGGGCGCGAACTCACCGCCAGGATCGAAGGTGCCCGCCCGAATTTGACTCCAGGATGGCCCACTGCAGCGGGCTGCCACGCTCAACTGGAGCCCGTCCCACCCTTGCGCCAAAATGGCAACGGAGGAGGAGGAGGAGGAGGAAAAGGAGGAGAAGGAGGAGGAGGAGGAGGAAGAGGAGGAGGGGGAGGAGGAGGAGGAGGAGGAGGAGGAGGAGGAGGAGGAGGAGGAGGAGAAGGAGGAGGACCGAGCGGGACGCTCGATAGAACCATCGCGCCCAAACGACCCAGAAGCATCTGGGGGGCACGTGGGGGCCAGATGGGACCGCGACTGCACCACCTCAGCGCTCGCGGGGACCCCCAGAACCACATCTCCATCGAGCCGCCCTGGGATAGCTCCCGAAGCCGTCGCGCCCAAGACGGCCTGGCAGCGTCCTGCGGGCCCCGCGAGAGCCCGCAGAGCCGAGGCCATGGTGAACCCACGCGAGGGAGCCTGGCACGCCCGAGATGAGAGCAGGAAGAACGAGGACAACGTCCAGCAGCAAATACTTCCAAAACAAAGAGCGGCCGATATTCAGTAGGCGAGCTTTTTCAGAGGCGGCCACACCGATAGCGATTCCGGTTCAAAGTGGGCAGGAACTGCGGCCTTCGTTCCCGTTCATGTTTGTCCACCTGCTAAGGCCTCCAGACACGTGCCATGGTGTCCCGAGGGAGAGCGGGAGAGAGAGAGAGAGAGAGAGGATGAGAGAGAGACTGCGGAAGCTACCTCAAGGTAGCGAGCCTACGGCGCCAGGGCTTGCCACAGGCGTCCAGATAAAAATCCTTGTCCTGCCCAATGCTGATAAACGGCTTCTCCGCTATCCTTGGGACCTCGTCGACGGTGACGAAGGGAACACTATGACTCTCGATGCCTCCGCAGGCGGACTCGGGAGCACCCTCGGTGCCAGCGAAGACCATATTCCAAACGCCACCGGTGCTAGAGCCGATCTTGGCGTTGCGGGTGAAATACTGCTGCTGGGTCCCGTACATCACGCGGCCGTTGACCTCGCAATTGCCCAGGTACCCTCCGCTGGAATAGCCATCCTCACGGGGGGGAACTCCGCTTTCCGTGACCCCCGAAGTGCCCTAGCAGAGTCCGCCCCAAATTCATAGCTCTGCAGGACGAAAAAGATGTCGTAATAGGATTGGCTCAGGACACCTTCCAGGATTTCCAAAGCACCTGGCGGCCCGCATGTTTGGAGCCCGTGCGAAGCAGCAGGAAATCTCGGGAAAAAATCTGGGACATCTCGCAAAGACTGAACGCACCATTATCATTCCCCTTGCCCCTCTGACTACACACATCCCGCTCATGGACGGAGGTGGAACTCTCGGCCGAGCTCCGTAGTCTTGGATTGTGGATACCATGACAATGGATACCCTAACAATCCGATCATTGAATGAAACATGTGAGAAACATGTTTGAAACATTTCTATACAAATTTAAAAAATATGTGTTCACATGTTTGTTTTAAACATGTGCAAACATATTTTAGACACCTGGCAATTATTTGGGAACATGCTTCATCTCCATTGTTCGTCCTCCACAAGTCTTGGGGAGGCTGGGGGCGGCGTTTGCGGGAGTGCGCCAGCTTCGGCCCAGGCCTGGGGCCATGGGGAGATTGAACCCAGGGCGTCCCCCCCTACCACTCTCGGCCTCCTCCTCCTCCTCCTCCTCCTCCTCCTTCCCTTCTCCCTCATCCCCCTCGTCCTTCTTCCCCGCCTTTCCTCATTCGGCAGGTCCGCAAAGGCGCATGCGGTGCGGCTCTGAGTCAGCGCAGGCCGATCCAAGACTTCAGTTTGACGGTTTCCCCAGGGATCCACTGCATGCTCCTCCGCTTCCCTGATCAAGGCAACTCTCCTTGGCATCGTTTGTGGATGGGCTGGTGGTTTTTTTGAGCTCAACAGCTCGACTCCACCAAATGCAGGACGTCTGGCGGCGGTGGGAGACACCAGCCTGCAAAAGAAAAGTTACGCGAAGTGTCAAAAAAACGATATGTATGTAATTATGTATGTATGTATGTATGCATGCATGTATGTATGTATGTATGTACGTACGTACGTATGTATGCATGCATGCATGCATGCATGCATGTATGTGTGTATGTATGTATGTATGTATGTATGTATGTATGTATGTATGGATGGATGGATGGATGGATGGATGGATGGATGGATGGATGGATGTACATGGCCGATGCTGGAAACCCTGAACACAAAAATGTTACATTCGCTTGGGAAATGGACTTTTGCTTCCGCCGGCTTCCGCCGAGCTTCCGCCGGTTTCCGCCGACGGAACCGCCCTCGTTTTACTTCCGCCGACCTTCCGCCGCCCTTCCGCCGCTTCCGCCGCGGAAGAGATGGCAACTTCGCCGATCCTCGAAGGCGAGGCCCTTTTTTTATCGTTCCATATCTAGTTCCATATATATATATATATGTGGACCTATACGACCACCCGTCCGGTGATAAGGAGGTTCGGGGGGGGGGGAGGAACCAACATCTCACTCGATCGGTCTCACTATCGATCTCACTATCGATCTCACCGTCGGTTTCGCTCGATCGATCTCACTCGATCGATCTCACAATAGATCTTTCTCGATCTATTTGATTCGATCGATCTCACAATCGATCTGACTATCGATCTCACAATCGATCTCACTATCGATCTCACTATCGATCTCACAATCGATCGCACATTCGGTCGCACTATCGATCTCACTATCGATACGACAATCGATCTCACAATCAACGTCATCATCAGCATGAACATCATGGTAATCAACGGCATCAACATGATCATCATCATCATCGGGACACAATCATCATCATCACCTCATCACCATCAACAGCATCAGCATCACCGTCGTCATCATCAGGACACCATCATCATCAACATCATCATCGGGACACCATCATCATCATCATCATCGGACCACCACCATCGTCATCATCATATTCACATCATCATCGTCATGGCCAACATCATCAACATCATCATCAGTGGGACACCACCATCATCATCAGCAACATCAGCATCATCAACATCATCGTGACACCATCATCATCGGCACCACCATCATCATCACCATCATAATCAATATCATCATCATCATCATCATCATCATCAGCATCATCATCAACTTCATCATCATCATCGGGACACCATCATCATCATCATCAACATCAGCATCATCATCACCATCATCGGGCCCCCATCATCAGAATCATCATCATCATCATCATCTCATCATCATCTTCATCATCAACACCATCGGGACAGCATCATCGTCATCATCAACATCATCATCATCATCTGGACACCATGATCATCACCATCATCAACAGCATCATCAACCTCATCATCATCATCGGGACACCATCATCGCCATCATCTTCATAGTCATCATCTCATCACCATATCATCATCAACATCATCACGATCATCATCATCATCATCGAAACACCATCATCAACACCATCACCGGGACACCATCATCATCACCACCATCACCATCATCATCAACATCGTCAACATCATCATCATCGGGACACCATCAGTATCACCATCACCATCATCACCATCATCACCATCATCATCATCATCATCATCATCATCATCATCATCATCATCGTCGGGACACTGAGGGGACACCAGCGCGACACCGGCGGGACACCGCGGGCCACGGGCCCCCAGAAGGGAGTCATTTGGTCCAGCCGCGCCTCAGCCAGAGGCGGGACACCGCGGGCCACCGGTCGCCGGAAGGGAGTCATTTGGTCCGGCCGCGCCGCAGCTGGAGGAGACTTTCTTCTCGCCCGCCCACGCAGCTTCGCCTCGCCCGCACGCACGGCACGCACGAACACGAAACCGAAACCGATTTCCCGGTAGGGGGCTCTGCGTTCCACTTCGATCTCACCCCCTCACCTCCGATGTGTATGTATAGCACCATATATCTAGTTCCATAGATCTAGTTTTATATATCTATCTGTCTATTTCTATATATATATAATACACAGATGTCCACGTATAGAAATATATGTTCTCCATCCCTCGGTGCTTCACCATCCTTCCACCGAGGGGGACGATGTACTTATCTTTGGCCTGCTGAGGACGTCTGTCTCTTCGGGCCCCCTTCGAACCCTCTTTTGGGCCCCCCTGGGGTGGGCAAGGGTATACCCTTCACTGGGGGGTCGAACTGGTACTGATACCGCCACTTCCCTGACCTCATCCTGGAGTGCGTTCTGACCAGAATTTCGAAGCAAATCCAGCGGTGGGGAGGAGGGGTACAGAGATCGATCTCTTTCTCCTCTGATTACTCCGCTTCGCGATGGGTCCGTGTCTTGTCCTGCCTCATCCAGAGGAAGAACAAACGTTATTAACACAAACTGTTGGTAGGGGGGCAAATGCGAACCCTACCCCTACCCCCCACGACTTCTGAGGGGGAGGGTGGGGTTCACTTCGTTCGGGAGCTCCCGAGCGAAGTGAACTCCACCCCCCCCTCAGAAATCGTAAGAAACAGGGGTAGGGTTCACATGTGGCCCCCTATATAAACACAAACTGTTGGCGCTCCGCGCGGATTTCTTGGATCCGCGCCAGAACCCCTCCCCGGCGCGCGGAGCGCGCCAGGGGCGGCGCCGGAGGCGCCGCCGGGGAGGGCCCAGCGCGGACACAAGAAACCCGCGCGGAGCGCCAAGAGTTTATGCTCATGCAGTTGTTTGTTCTTCGAGAGTCTTTCGAAAGCTGGGCGGCTGCTAAAATCGTGGCTGCTCAAACGGCCCTTCCGGAAGGAAAAAACAACTTCCCGGAATGAGGCGCGGCACGCGAAACAGTCAACGGGCTTCTTCCCGGAAGGACGAAGACAGCTTCCCGGAGGTCGATCTTAGCAGCCCAGATTTAGCAGCCCGCGCCGAGCTTCCGAGTCTTGTCCTGCCTCCTCCGCTCCTCGTACAGGATCAGGTCGTTCTCGACCTTCACCCGCCGCAGCGGGGAGGCCTGCGAGGTCGCCCACAGCATGCCGTGCGAGCCAGGCTGCCAGCTGTGGTTTGCGAGGCTCCTGAAGTTCTCCGCGATCCGCCAGAACCTCAGGCGAGGCACAGCCAGGACCAGGACGACATCGGACCAAGACAAAGGAGCGACGAGCAAAAGCGGGTCCCAGAAGAAGAAAAGTCAGGAGGCAACTAATTACTGGGAGGTTCTTCGTCGGAAAGATGGAGGGATGTTGAGCCCCAGTGGAGGGCTGATACGCAGGAGTGGGCTTCGGATAATGCAGAAGTCAACCTGATTAGGTGGGATTAAGCGGGATTGAGCCCGACTAAACGGGACCAAGCCGGATTAAGCCGGATTTCGGACCAGGGCAAAATCAGAATTTGACCTCCCAGGAACTGCACCCGAAGAAAGAGGCCATATACACCATTGTTTGGCACTCCGCGCGGATGTGTTGGATCTGCGCTGGACCCCCCTCCCTGGCGCGCGGAGCGCGCCAGGGGCGCCGCTGGAGGCGCCGCCGAGGGGGGGCCCAGCGCGGATCCAAGAAATCCGCGCGGAGTGCCAACAGTGTATGCTTCTGGCTTCTGGCGTTCTGTGTTCTTCGACTCACGCGAGATGGCACAGCGACCTCACGCGGCGGCCTTACGCGGGTCGTCTGCTCGGCATGCTGCACTGGAAACGAGAACGAGGGCGCCTACGCGCGACCTTACGCGGGCAGCCTACGCGCCTCACGTCGGCGAAGGCGATCCCGGTCTTTTGCGTCGCTCAAATGGGGGATCTCTGAGAGCCAGCGGCTCTGGAGGATGTCGCGGGCGCCGCGGCCGTGCCAGAGCGCTCCAGCACGCTCGGAGAGCGCTCCAGGGACGCTCTGGAGTGATTTTGTCGGAGGTCGACCACACGAGGAGGAGGAGGAGGAGGAGGAGGAGGAGGACGAGGAGGAGGAGGGAGGAAGACTATGATGATGATGGTGGCGAGGAGGAGGAGGAGGAGGAGGAGGAGGAGGAGAAGAGCTTGCCTGGTCCTGCGCCCGCCCGATCAGCAGCCAAGGCCTCCTACATCGTGCTGTTTTGGCTGCCGGCGCCCTTCTCAGAAGGAAGAGAGCCGTGCATAGGCACTGACCCTGGCCAGGCTGGAGTCCGTCACCGTGCCTGCCTTAGCATTAGGTCCCTTCGAGATGTCTGCATGGAGTACTGCAAATCTTCTTCCAGGGGTCCCATAATACCGATCGCCAGTGCCGGTCCTGCGACCACCTTGCTCGTGCACGTCTCGTCGACCATAAAAGATGAGCATTGAAGGCTGCTGATGCACTCTCAAACCTGCAGGCCAGCTCGCACTCGAAACGCCCCAAACCACGGGTCAATCAGAGCAATGTTCCACAATGCCTCACCCTCCAATCAAGCGCGCTACGTAAGGCTTCGGCCACCCCTTCTGCCGTAGCCTCATCATGTCTCATCCTGCGCCTGGTCACCCATCCGTTGTAGATCGCGCGTGACGATTCGGACGCAACCCTCGGCGGGCACCCCGAGTACCACAAGCGCACGATATATAATGTCCGCGAACGGGAAGCAGGACGCGAGGGAGGCAGACAAGATAGAGGAGCGACAAGAGGAGGAAGAGAAGGAGGCAGTCACTCCCAGCAATTAGAGCTCCTATATGTTTGAGGATGGCAGCGCGGATGCCATGATGAGCCTCATGCCGTTCGAACTACGACCTAGGAGTCGACATCGGAAGAGCGTGACAGGAGGAGGGAGGATGAAGGAGAGAGAAGGAGTGGGAGCAGAAGGATGGAGACTAGGAGGGCAAGGGGACAAGATAGAGAGCGCGGAGTAGAAAGAGGAAGGGGAGGAACAAATGAGAGGGAAGAGAACAGGTACCAGCACCCCAATTAAATAGACGATCAGATCGGCTACGGGCTACCGGACACAAACGGCGAAGAAGCCTGCCCGATGCGCGCCTCCGGCACCGACCGATTCAGCCCCAGACTGCGTGCAGAATGCGCACAACCAGACTTGCTTGCGACACCCTTCGGGGGCGGACGCGACGCTCTCTGCGGCAAAACCCCCCTTCCCCCTCCTCCTCCTCCTCCTCCTCCTCCTCCTCCTCCTCCCCCTCCTCCTCCTCCTCTCCTCCTCCTCCTCCTCCTCCTCCTCTTCCCTCCTCCTCCTCCTCCCCCTCCTCCGTCCTCCTCCCCTCCTCCTCCTCCTCCTCCCTCTCCTCTCCTCCCTCCTCCTCCTCCTCCTCCTCCCTCCTCCTCCCCCTCCTCCTCCTCCTCTCCTCCTCCTCCTCCTCCCTCCCTCCTCCCTCCTCCTCCTCCTCCTCCTCCTCCTGCCTCCTCCTCCTCCTCCTCCTCCTCCTCCTCTCCTCCTCCTCCTCCTCCTCCCTCCTCCTCCTCCTCCTCCTCCTCCCTCCTCCTCCTTCCTCCTCCGCTCCCTCCTCCTCCTCCTCCTCTTCCTCCTCCTCCTCCTCCTCCTCCTACCTCCTCCTCCTCCTCCTCCTCCTCCTCCCCTCCTCATCCTCCTCCCCTCCTCCTCCTCCTCCTCCTCCTCACTCCTCCTCCTCCTCCTCCTCCTCCTCCTCCTCCTCCTCCTCCTCCTCCCCCTGGTGAAGAGAACGGCCCAGGAACCGCGCCCCGCGGGCGCAGGGCCCGCAAGAAAGGGCGGCCGCGTCGCCCTCCAGGGGAGCGCAGAACGCGGGCGGCGACGTGCGACAACCCGACCCTTAAAGTCCACCCGTATCACAAGGATGCGCGGTATGAGGATGCGAGGGCCCCGGAGGCATGTGCACGTTTTCGGCCGTCGGGGGCGCACAAACACGGATGACCGCTCCATGGATTTGGCGCGCGATCGCCAAATCCTAGAACGGGGGAGGTTCCCTCCCCAAAATGCGGCCGGTGCCGCCTCGCTCGGCGGCGGATATCCGCGATGTCCCATGGAAACGGGACCCGTCGCTAATCCACGCCCCCGTGATCCATCTTTGCAATCGCCTGAGACCGAGGCTGACCGGCGGAAATCGCTGAGGATGGGCCGAAGGGGCAAGGGTGCAAGGGCAGCCCTGGGAAGGTTGCCCATCCTTACTGTGCGGGGTGTCTGTTGGTCGGGCATGTTCTCCTGCAGGCGGCTTTTGGTAGAAAACAAAAAATCAACAAAAAAAAGTAATCAAAGAATCGCCAAAAGAGCACGGGGCGCCGACTCCAGCCTATTGTTTACAGATGATTGAATCTTCCTCCTGTAGAGGGACATGCCCGACTTAACTCTAATCCCACCTCCCATCGATCCTCCTGAATCGATGGGACGCGGGGGCAGGGCTCGGACTTCGCCACGTGCTCGACGAAGTCCGAACCCTGCCCCCGCCGCCCATCGAAGTGCCTCCCTGAGATCCGAAGGCTCGTATATGATGAAGAGTCGCGACCGGAGCCCTAAACTTAAGTCGGGCGTGTCCCCCTACAGGGGGATTTTCGATGAACAAATATCCAAAACATACTCCAAAAATGTCAAAAAAGTACTCCAACAATAGTCGCCCGACTATGTTTGAGTATTCTCGAATATTCTCCCTGTTGAGGGACAGGCCCGACTTAACCCTAGACCCGAGCTTCCTGCGTCATGTTTCGAACAGGATCGAGGAGGAGGAGGAGGAGGGAGGAGGGAGGAGGAGGAGGAGGAGGAGGAGGCGGTAATTAGTTAGGGGATGAGGATGAGATTAGGAGGCCTGATTTCGTATGTATTAGTATTATTAGTAGTATTATTGTATTATGTTTTGTCACGACACTGGGCAAAAACGCACGGCTCGACAGAGTTTAGCCGCCAGGACCTCGAGGACTTCCGACCCCTGCCCCCGCCGCCCCTCGAGAGTTGCCTGCATCGCTGATCGGCGAAGGCTGAAGGGGGCCCTGGGGCACACAGATGAGCGCACACAAACAAAAGGACTCCCCAAATATGTTCCTGTACTTTCGGGGTGTTTGTCTTCTCCCCCCCACACTTCCCATGTTTTCCCAGATGTCCCTGGGAGTGGACGATCATCTGTGTCTTTGTGAATTTGCAAGGCATGCCTCAGACCCCGCCTCCGAGATAAGGGCAGTTCCCACGGGCGGAGGAGGAGGAGGAGGAAGAGGATGAGGAGGGGTAAGGGGGGTTTTGCCGCAGAGAGCATCGCGTCGCGTCCCCTCCTGAAGGGCATGACTCGGACTCCGCCACCGAGCGAAGAGCAGTTCCCACGGGCGGCGCCGCCGAGATCCACCCGGCAGGGCCGGGCTCTTTTCGGCTGCACGCCGGAGCGGCCCTTGGCAAAAGGAACCTTTGGTGCGCGGCTTGCGGGGGACCAAACACAAGCGCGCAAGACACTGAAGGGGCCCTGGGACACACAAACAAATCACTCCTACGTCTATCTAGTTGAGCATCGACCCCCAGACATGCGACGCCCCGATTTTCTCAATACGGGTCCCCTGGAAGTCCCGACCCTTTCCCCGGGACCCGTTTTTCATCCTGAATCGTTTCTTGACAGCCCCGAGGCCCGGCGAGGGCCCCCCGATGCCGAAAATTGCCCAAAACCTCCCGCCCTGATTCGTTTACGACGCGACCATGCCTGGGTTTATGTCTCGTCGCGCTCTGCCTCGCTCCCATCCCGGCCGCTCCCGGGGGGGGCGCTCCACCCTGCACGCCCCCGGCCGCCGAGAGGCGCCACCGTCGCGCCGCCACGGCGCGGGCCCTCCGTGGGGCGTGGAAGGCGGCCTCCCGAGAAGGCCCCTCGTCCCCCCCCCACCCCATCCCGGAATGGTGCGCCGATTTTCCACCACCACTGCCAATAGGCAGGAGAGGGTGAGGAGGGAGGAGGAGGAGGAGGAGGAAGAGGAGGAGGAGGAGAGGAGGAGGAGAGGAGGAGGAGAGGAGAGGAGGAGGAGAGGAGGAGGAGGAGGAGGAGAGGAGGAGAGGAGGAGGAGGGGAGAGAGGGGGGAGGAAGAGGAGGAGGAGTGGTAGAGGGGGCGGGAGGGAGGTTCCGGCGGGCGGCGCGCCGCGGAGGCGGCTGCGGCGGAGGAGGGCGGCGGAGGAGGGAGGACAGCGGTGCGGGGCGAGGCGCGGCGGAGCGCGGCGGCGGAGGAGG